GAGGGGCGGGGAGCGGCCGCGGGCTGTTGGCGGGCGGGGGCCGGGGCGGTTGGGGCGGCCGCTACCTTTGGCGAGCGCCACGGTGGAGTTGTCCGTGTCGATGGTGTAGAGGATGCCCTCGTAGCGGATCTGCGCCTTGGAGATGAGGCTGATCTTGCTGCCCAGGTACGGGGTGCCCGAGGAGCCGCTCATGGCGGCGGCCGCCCGGCTGGGCCTGGCCCGCTCGCCTCCGCGCGGTCGCCTCGCCGCCGCCCACTCCTCCGCCTCGGCGCCTCCTCACCGCCGCCCGTCGGGCCTGCGCTGGGACCAGCGAGCGAGCGACGGCGCGCGGCCAGGAGCTCTGAAGAGAGCGAGGGGGAGGAGGGGCCGCAGCAGCCACATCCGGGGCCTCGCGCCGCCACGCCCCGCCCCTGCACGCTCGGCACCCATTGGCTCGCCGCGCCGGCCTCCCTTTAAATATGGCCGCGCCGCTGGTCTAGGGGCGGGCCCGCGCTCTACGCCTGCGCAACCAGCGCCGCGGGCCCGGGAGGGCTTTCCTCGGCTCTCCGCCCCCTCCTCAGCCAACTCCCGGCGGGCCCCGCGCGGGGTGGGAGCACGAGACCCGGCGGGCAGGCTCAGGGGTCGGGGGCGGTGAGGGGGGAAAGGGGTGGGAATTGGGAGGGGCGGATCGCGCGTGCGCGTGCTGGGTGGGCGGGGCCGGTGAGCGGAGGGGCGGGATTGGAGGGCGGAGCGCGTTGGCCTTGCCCTGGTCGCTGTTCAGCGGGCCTGCGAGTCGTGTCCCCCGAGCTAGGCATTCCCTCTGCGGAAAAGGCCGGGACAGCTTCCCCTGCTCTGGGTTGGAAGGCCGCCCGGCTGGGATGCGCCCCGCCCCTTCTCCAGCACCCGCGGGCCGGAGTCCCTGCTCCGGGGAGCGAAGGCGAGGGCAGGGGTCCCTAACCGCGACGTGGAGGCGCGGTTCGAGGTCCCCGTCCCGCGAGGTTCAGCCGGGGGGCTGGGAGTCCCTATCCCGTTGAGTGAAGGCGAGGTGCTGAGGCCGGGGTCCCTAAACACAGCGTGGAGGCGGGGCCCGGGAGTCCTTGTCCCGCCGAGCGAAGGCGGGGTTCGGGGGTCCCTGTCCGCGACGTGGAGGCGGTGTTCGGGGTCCGTGTCCCGGGAGGTGATTGCGGGGTTCAGGGTCCCTGTCCCGCGAGGTGCAGGCGGGGGGCCGGGAGTTCCTATCCCGCTGAGTAAAGATGAGGTGCTGGGGCCCGGGTCCCTAACCGCGGCAGGGAGGCGGGGGTCCGGGAGTCCCTGTTCCGCCGAGCGAAGGCGGGGTTCGGGGTCCCTGTCCCTCGAGGTAGCGGCGGAGGGCCAGGAGTCCCTACCCCGCTGAGAGAAGAGCGGGTGCTGGCGCTGGGGTCCCTAACGGCGGCGTGGAGGCGGGGTTCGGCGTCCCTGCCCGCGACGTGGAGGCGGGGGACCGAGAATCCCTGAGCCCGGAGGCGAAGGCGGGCGCCGGGGTCCCTAACCGCGACGTGGAGGTGGGGCCTGCCCTCTGGGCGCAGGGTGCAGTGGCAGCTGCGGGTTACGAGCGCTTCCGGCGCGTCAGCCGCTAAATATAAACTGCTGAGCGCATCTTCTCCTTTAATCCCTCCCCTCCCCCAAACCTGCGGTAGCTTCACGTCCCTTAAAATAAATCCCAGCCCGCCACCAGCGCCTCAAAGCCCCGCCTGGCCTGGCCCGTCCGGCTCCAGCCGGGAGGCGTCCTGGGCGTCCTGGGTGTGAGGCGGAGAGGGGCCTCCGACTGTCCCCGCGCGGCACTTAGCTCCGTCAGCGACTGCGAGCGTGCACGTGTGCGCTTGCTTTTTGTCTGTCTCTCCCTCTTGACCCGGCCCATCAGATCCGGTACGGAAGAAACTGGGTGGATGGTGACCAGCATTTTATAAAAATGAAACTGGATAAAAGAAAATATCAGAGCATCCCACATAGTGAGAGTATTGCTTTGTGCTTAGGTCACTAACGTGTGTGAATATTTACATGGGTATTCGGTCCAGATGTAAAATGGGGCGCCTGGGTGGCTCAGTTGTTGAGTGTCTGCCTTCGGCTCAGGTCATGATCCCACCTGGGATAGAGCCCTCCTGCATCGGGCTCCCTGCTCAGGGGAGAGTTTGCTTCTCCCTCTCCCACTCCCCCTGCTTGTGTTCCCTCTCTCGCTGTCTCTCTCTGTCAGATAAATAAAATCTTAAAAAAAAAAAAAAAAGATGTAAAATGTGTTTCTTACCGTGAGTGCCAAACAAAAGAATGAAAGCCACTGCAGAGAATATAACCCACCGCCCAGACTAGGCATCTGACTCCCCTCCTCTTACAGAGGAGGACCGAGACCCCGCACAGGACAGAGGAGCTGCAGACGGGACAGGCTCCTGCCAGCACCCAACGACATCCAGGACCAGAACAGTAATGGCTTTGAGAAAAGGGAGCAGCAAGGAAGCAGAAAGCGTGGAAAGGTCTTCAGAATGCATCTGCCAAGACTTACCTGTATATTCTAGAATTGATTCTTGGCACATGGGAAAATTGCACTGGTGAGAACGGGGACAGCACAGCCATGGAATTCGTCTAGCCCTACGAGGAGAGATCTCTGGGGATGGGGGGTCCTGCTCCTAGAAGTGAGATGGGACTCTCCTTTAGCACAGCCTTTCCCAGGGGTGCACCTGTCCCAAGGAGCTGCCGCCCCAGGTCTCCTGACTGTCCCCCTTGTGCAGCCGAGGCATCCTTTCCCCCCACTTTCTGGGTCTAGAATATGACTTGCCCAACGTCACAGATTCTTTGCCTCCCAGATCCTGGTTTTGGAGCTACAAGCCTCTTTGTGTTGGAGGTGGGGATACACTCTTTACTAACAGGAGTTGATTCTGTCTTGGGAAAAGAGAGCCGAAGCCTCAGGACCAGGGTGGGGTGCAGTTCCAGAGACCTCTGAGAGCTTGCCAGACCCCTTGGTGTGCAGCTAGGTGGTTAGCCATGGGGCAAATGCCCAGGCAGGGCAGAGGCTAAAAATATACGGGGTGCACAGGTACAGGAATGCTGGCTCTACCATTCATTCCTTGGTGTCTTGCCCAAAGTGGAGGGCACTTGCAAAAGATTTGAAGAGGGGAGCAGTTGTGGCGGGAACTAAACTTGACTAGCGAGGTTTCCACTGCAAACGTGAGCCACTTACTAATCACCTACTGTGTGTATGGAGGAGAGTGAAGTGGTCCCTAATAAGGACGCGTGTGATAATGCGGACCCAGGATGCTGCCCTGGGTTCCATCCCAGTCTGGCAGGTTCTGCCGCAGGAGAGGCCCTTCACCACAGAATATCACTGTGGCTCTAATGTCCACCTGAGCAAGAATGAGCCTCACGACCCTTGGAATTGTAGGTTTTACTGCTTACCAGGAGCAGAACACAACAGGTGAGTTGATTCAAAGAAATGTCAATAATAGCTGGTCCACAGAGCAAAAGTCAGGTCAGCGGCCTGAAGTGTGGGAGCATGCCAGCAGGGCAGGACCTCACCCATCCCCCGCTGTCCTGGCACAAGAGAAAGGTGCTCACCTCTTTGGGAGAGCCCTTGCCCATCTGCAGATAACAGGAGTGGGAGGGAGCTGAGGGATTACAGGTGAGCTGGGTGGGGGAGTCAGGGCTGGCTTTGAAGGTGTTGCTTACTAGGAGGTCTTGTAGGTGGGGAAAGGGGCACAGGGAGGGTGTGTTCAAGGCTCACCTGTGTGGCTGCGGAGTAAAGACAGGAAGGGGGGCCTTGTTGCTCTTGCATAGCTAGGAATACTCCCTGCGGTCTAACCCGATTTCTGTGAATCCTGTTGGAATCCATTTCCTCTGTCCAGGGCCCTGCATGGCTATTTTCCCTGGAGACTCCGTGAGCACCAATAGGTGAAGTCTCTTGCTCCCCCTCTCCCCTCACCTTCAAACCCTTTTCTGCTTGCATCTCACCCCTCCCCCCAGCTGAGCGTTCTGGTGTGAGGGAGCCAGGGCTGGAGAAGAGAGGTACAAGAAAGACATTGGGACCCAGACCCCAGTGAGCAGCTGCAGCTACCTTTCCCATCCCCTGCTCAGATGGGGGCTGAACAGAGCTTATGGGAATCCCTGAGTGGAGCTGCTCCTCAAAAATGCTGGAGCCCGGCCGGTGCCTCCTGGCTGTGGTCTCTCTGAACATCTGCGACCTTGTCTTCCCAGCGTGAGCATGGGTCCAGAACCTACCTGAGAGGCTGAGGACTGAAGGCGCAGGGAGGCATTCGTGCCCGCGGGCGCCTCCTTCCCCCTGCCAGATGATGGGGCCACTGACAGTGCAGCCCCCACCCGAAGAGCCCTTCCACAGCTGGCCTCGCTCCGGTTCCCGCACAGTGCCCGGGTGGAGGGGAGCTCGCCGTTGTTTGTCCAGCTCCGCTTCCAGGGGCTGCGGGAGAGCCCAGGGCAGGGAGTCTGCCCAGGCTGCCTACCGGCCCCCTGGACCTTGCCTCCAGGCAGTTCCCGAGGGAAGAAGGGAAAGCATGATCAAGTCACCAAGGCCACTGCTGAGGGTGAGGAAATGGGATGCGGAAACAGGGAAGGGGAATATAAGGGCCCCGTGCACTGGGCAGTTCTTTTTTTTTTTTTTTTTTAAGGTTTTATTTATTTATTTGACAGAGAGACAGCGAGAAAGGGAACACAAGCAGGGGGAGCGGGAGAGGGAGAAGCAGGCTTTCTGCCGAGCAGGGAGCCCGATGCGGGGCTCGATCCCAGGACCTGGGATCATGACCCGAGCCGAAGGCAGACGCTTAACGACTGAGCCACCCAGACGCCCTGGCAGTACTTTTTATTTACCAATAAAAGATAGTTCTAAGGACCCAATGGTGGTGCGTGTGTCTGCTCCCCAGTAGATATGCACCAGAACGTTTTCACAGTGAAACTGGAAACTGCCAGGCCCGCTGGCAGGAGATTGGATCTCTGATGGCAGTGTGTTCCCTGCTGGAAGATTCTGGGGCACCCACCGCGGGCCGACCTCGGTTGCACAGGCAGGGCGGAGAGAGAGAGAGAGAGAGACCGAGAACACATGGCCCAATCCCCTGCACATACAGTCACAGGTGGGCTGTTAGGGTGGCTGTCCCTGGGGGCCTCGTGGCTTCAGAAGGAGCCTGGGTGGCTTCTGGGCACTAGCCATCAGTGCTGGTTACGTAGGTGCATTACCTTGGTGGACCTCCATGGAGCTGACCACTCAGGACCCGAGCGCGTTTGTGC